ACTATTGAGCTAAAAAAAAAATCGCTTGGGAAATGTTTGCCACTACTTTTTCTCTTGTTTGATAGAAACTGTGATCAATGCTGATTGTTCTTGTTGCATATGGCTTTTTTAGGGTAAAAATGAATGATGTGTTTTTGAGTATTTCAACTAATTCTTTTAATCTTGACATCGTTTTGCCTGGATTGTTTAGGATTTTATCATTTTTAGCTTAGATGTGGACAATAGGTTGTCTATTTTTTCATTTTTTTATGTTTTATTTTATATTGAATTTAATAAATAGTTCTATCTGGCAATTGATTGTGCTGGCCTGGTGTTCATTAGTTATCAATCTTGGATGTTCATCTGCATTAACTTTCACACACAATGTACTTAACATTATAAATTTCAATGTGAGCTTATGTTGATTGTTCCCTGGTGCTTCTGTTTTTGCTCTAATAGCTATTAAATGGCCAATGATGGATCTAATTTTTTGAAGGTTGTAATCTTTGTTGCGTTAGATACTTGTTGGTTTCTGTCAGCTTTTCTCTCAGACTCTCAGTCTTGTGTATTGGTTCTATTATATTTACTTTCATAAATGACTATGTTATCCTGAAATATGATTATTTGAACTGACATGGCTGTACACCTCCTTTGTTCCAGTTTGCACGATGATTTGTGTATCTTCTCTGAATATTGGGTGTTTGATAATTCTATTCTTCTTATTATAAATATACTCAGACATCGGCAGTCTCCTTCTTGGGAAGGTAATTCAAGATCCCGCTCAAGGTCCAGATCACGTTCGAGGTCATGGTCTAGACCAAGGGACAGATCTAGGTCTAGGTCTAGGTCTGGGTCAAGAGGTCGTGGCAGGTAAGTGGCAAATATTTTGATTTAGCTTAGTTGCATCACTGACTTCAAAATTTTTATTCGTATATGTTCTGTCATTGCAGGGCAGAAGATGTTAACCCAGGGAATACTCTGTACGTGACTGGTCTTTCTACCAGGGTCACTGAAAGGGACCTTGAAGATCATTTCTCAAGGGAAGGAAAGGTCTGGTTGGTTGATAATCTAACTCGCATTGTGTATTCTTATTTTTTTAAGTGATGTCGAACTTTGCAGATAGGGTGTAAGGCATTCTCTTAATCGTGGAATAATTGCCCCCATGTTTAGTTTTTTTTATTTTATTTATTATTTGAAATAGTGATCTCTTGATTTTTCTGCCAACGTTATGTTTTGAATAACTGGACATGTTTTGGTGCATTAGGGCCCGGCTGAAATTTTGAGTGATTGAGCTAACCGTTTTTTATCCATCTCATTGAAGTTTTTTATTGCATTAACTTGGAAAGTTTCAAATGTTGCTGAAGTTGTCTGTGTGCCTCAATTTTGTAGGTGAAATCTGTATTTTTGGTTGTGGAACCACGGTCTCGTATCTCTCGTGGTTTTGCATTTATAACGATGGACAATATGGAAGATGCAAATCGCTGTATTAAGCACCTCAATCAATCAGTTCTAGAAGGCCGGTACATAACTGTGGAGAGGGTAAGCTAATGTCTTATTAAAGGAGGCTTGTTATCTTACTTTTGTGAAGCAATCTGTTTGACCAGAAGGTTTTGGTTATATTCAGAAGATAATGCTTCAGCTTTGTTGGCAGAAATCAAAGATGATCAGTCCATCCATCACAACAAGCTAAAACAGCTTTTCACTTGCATCTGATCAACTTAATAGCATCTATATTGCCCAACAACTATACAACCTCAGCAAATTCTCTCAACTCTCTCAATTAATCAAGGATCTTTGTCAACATTGTAATCAGTCTTCTATGGTATCTCATACCTGGCATTGATCATTCACTTTTTATTTGTTTGATTAACCCAACGTTATTTAGATGATGTGTTTCTCTACCAACATATCAACTGTGTGTTACCCTTTGCATGGGACAATATTATTCGAGATATCCCTCGACATTTGAGATTCTCTTATACATATGTTGTTTTGGTTTTATTTTCATTCTTAAAATTTTGCATTTAATTAAACTGTTAAATTGAAATTGAGATACTGTGGTTTTTTTTTTTCTTTTTTTTTNTTTTTGTAGTCCCGGAGGAAACGTGCAAGGACTCCGACTCCTGGTCACTATCTTGGGCTCAAAAGTTCCCGTGGTGATGGTGAGTTGTTTCTGCAAGTTATTTCTAATTATAATTTCTATCTAAACTAATTTACTTCTTTTGGGGTTGAAGGTTATCGTGGTAGGCATCATGGAGGTTCTAGCCGTGATGATTATGGGTACCGGAGGTCCCCTCGACGCTCGCCTTATAGAGGTGGGCGTGAACGTGAACGTGATTATTCCCCTAGACGTTCGCCTTACCGTGGAAGATCAAGAAGGGATAGGTCCAGATCGTATTCTCCTCGAAGGACTCCTGAGAGGAATTATGCTCGTGGTTCTAGGTGAAATGTATCGTCAGGCCAACTTAAATGATATGAACAATCTTGAGAACTCATGAATTATGTTCGGACTTATATTGTGAGATGGATTCCAAGTATTTTTTTTTTTTACGTGATGTCATATTGATCTTTGCACCCTGACTTATTATGCGGGTGTTGACTACGTGGCGTTAACTTGTTGTGAATTGAGTGGGCTGGAAGTCTATGTTTTGATTGCTGTGTGTTTTGTATGTTTTGATTGGGGACCATTTGAACTCGTGAATAAGTCACGTTTAATGTTTGAATTAGGTAGTTTGAAGGTCCTATTTTGTGTAGAGGGGTGCATTTGCTTTAATTTTGTTTCAAATTTAGAACCATAAAAATTATTGATGGTGTGGTCACAATGGGGAATGTGAGCAAACTCACTACTCCAACTCAAACCATTTGCAAAATTAACCAAACCCGTTACTTTGTTCTCTTGTATGAAGTTGCTTTTGAATTTCTTGCTACTTTTGGGTTTTTCCTTCAGTTAGCTTGGATGTAATTTTCATTTGGTACTTAAGGTTTTGGGTTTCTCCTTCAGTTAGCTTGGATGTAATTTTTAGGCCATTCTGTCTGAAATTACCTCTCAATTTTTTCCAATTCCTTTATTTTTGTTAAATATAGGTGTATATATACATACTTGAATGTAAAATCAAGAATAGTCTGTATACATCTGGACAGATTATCCGTAAGGGGATTTGGCATCTAAGCATTTTCTACAATGAACATTAAATGAATATTCACATGGATAGCTCACTCCCCATTGTTAATACCATTTTAGGTTTTAGGTCTATGAAATTTGTCTTCTTTCCAAGTGTGCTGCTTCATCCCACATTTGTTATTCTTTTTATTTTTAATAAATAAATAAATAAATAAATGAAGGAATTTTCTTCACACTGTTAGTTTTTGGTGTATTTAGTTTTCATATTGTGAAGTCTACACTGGATTGACAAAGCAAAATATTTTCTAGAATGGAATATTACTTATCATTTACATATACATTGGCACATCTATATCTATATCTATATCTATATAAATATAAAAAGGTTAGGCAATTACCTGTAATAGCAACTAAAATCCCGCCTAAAAATTTAAAACTTACTAATCTTGGTAATTTTTTTCATAATTTTTCAAAAATCCCTCCATTAAATCATTAGTTTCGAATTTTACAGAATCAAATTTCAAGATTTGGTGAATAAATATACTCCGTCACCTGCCAAATGGTCTTGAATAAAATTCGGTAACCTTTTAGACTAGCACGAATAAATTGCATAAAATCTCTTGATTTGTTTAGGAAGATTTTCTATTCTCTTAAAATTACATTTTGAGTTGTCAACTTGGCATCCCATCATGATTTTTTCAATATATGTTTTTGGAAGATGTATAATATGATATTAGTGCGTGGCCCGTGCGATGCACGGCAAAACAATATTACGATTGTATAATAAATTAAATATATAAATAGCATTAATCATGATATGTTCATTGTTTTTAAATTAAACCGGGTTGGACACAGTCCGACCGGATGGATCGAGAACCGGTTCATAACCAGTCTAGTTCGCTTGAATAAAACATTTGCTCTCGAATCCGTCAACACCAATCGGTTGGACTGGTAGAATCGATACCATTTTCTAAATAAATTTTGTTATATTTAAAATTATTTTAAATAAACTTACATATTTAAATAGAATAGAGATTTATAAATTATTTATCAATTAGTTAAACATTTGAATTTATAAATTGTTTAGATATCTAAGTAACACATTTTATTTAAATTTATTACAAAAAGTACTATATATGTCTATTAAAATGTTTATAAATTAAAATCTGAACAAACTACGAATGATTTAATAAAATATCTTGATTGTTTTGATGATGGTCCAATTCTGAAAACCTTATATTTACTGTACATTAATAAATATTATAATAAAATATTATTTTGTTCACATAAATATTCATAAATCATTAAACATATTGTCATAAAAGTATTATTAATATGATTATTTGAAATTTGGACTACATCACATTCACGTAATAAAATATTTTCAATATAAAATTTATTTTTAGGTTCAATAATTGATTTAGAGTGGTCGAGCTGATACATAACTTAGTCAGCTGGGACCAACCAAGTTGTGTCAAGTTTTTTTACTATTTTAAATATCACCTAAAGTAATTCAATCAACCTAGGCAGTACCCTAATTCAATCACCCGATTGATCTGAAGAAATTTTCTTATTTTCTTTAAATATATTTAATTTTATGAAATAAAAATATTTTATGATTCATATAATAAATGTCTATACCAAATGATAGTATATTGAGATTATAAATTATATATCTAAAGATGGATTAATTATTTTTACTTTATGCATATTAATAAAAAATGAACATAGTAATTTTTAAAAAATTAAGATTAATTGATTGATTATGCAACAAAGAATATTTTTAGCTTTCAATATTTTTTTTAAAGGCACAAATATAAAGATCGAGATTCTAAAACTTTTGGTATATTTTGAATTAAGATTTTATAAATATAGAGATCGACATTTTAATGGTGTTCGTTGTTTCTAAGAAAAAAATAAAAATAAAAACATACAAACTTAATAAATCTTTTCCGGATTTTTTAAATAATTAAATGAACTAAAGCCCGAATTTTAAGGTAGCATTTAATGCTATATGATTCTTAAAGAAAAAAATAAGAAAAGTAATAAAACTTATATTTATAAGCTGCATTAAATTCCGACCTATTTTTTAGCTACTATTTTTGGTAAATGGTAATTCTTATTATATATATATATATATATATATATATATATATATATATATATATATATATATATATATATATATATATATATATATATATATATATATATATATATATATATATATATATATATATATATATATATATATATATATATATATATATATATATATATATATATATATATATATATATATATATATATATATATATATATATATATATATATATATATATATATATATATATATATATATATATATATATATATATATATATATATATATATATATATATATATATATATATATATATATATATATATATATATATATATATATATATATATATATATATATATATATATATATATATATATATATATATATATATATATATATATATATATATATATATATATATATATATATATATATATATATATAGATGATATATGTATATATATATGTGTGTGAAAGAAAAAAGTGGATGTATACATTTGAATTTTCACTTGATTTAAATACACATTACATCTAGAAATAGTAGACAGAAAAGTCAAAGGTAATTAATGCATTCTATTTCCATCAATTTTTTCAATTGTATTATTATTATTTTATTACTAAAATAACGATTTGCATTAATTCATCCTTAATTGATGTGTTTTGCAATAAAATCAGACAGATAGACTTCAAGTAAAAACATGTCTTATTTCAAATTTAAATTTAAATATTAAAATTTCTTATCATTTTGTTACATTAAAATCCTGAATCAATTGTTTGCCATAAAATCGGACAAAATAATGATTGCATAGAATTCAAGTAAAAACATGTCTCATTTAAAATTTCTTATCATTTTGTTACATTTTCGAATGATTTGTTTCCAATAACATCGGACGGAATTAATAATTGCATAGAATTCAATTATGATTTATAATTTTATATTAAGGATGTTTAATAATTGCATAAAACTTCAAAGATGTTTATTTATTATAAAAATATTAAATTCTAAAAAAAATATTTGTGTATATTTTGTAAAATGTTTGTACAAAATGTTTTACTTTAAATTTATTTACATAATTTAAATTAATTACATTAATAAATAATATGAACATACATTATATATTTTAATTACATAAAACAAAAAGAAGAAGAAGACTACATCTATAACTTGTATAAATAATAATAATGACATTGTATTATAATAAATTTTATAATAAAATAATATAAGTATTATACGAGGAACAAGATTGCGTAAAATTGTTATTTTTCTTATATCAAAGAATAAATATATATAATGAAATCAAATCTATATATATATATATATATATATATATAATAAGAATTACTATTTACCAAAAATGACACGTCAAATCTATAGTCAAAACCTCTTATCATTAATGACTTGCCATTAATGGCAATTAATATTTTTTTTTTAAACACAACATTAAATGCAATCCATACTCAGGGGCGGACGTAGACTTGCAAAGTTAAAGAGGCACAATGTAACTTTTACGAAATGCCAAAAAAATAACATAATATTATTTTGAAATCATTCTCTATATATTTTTAGATTTTGCATCAATTAATAATTACATTATTTTCAATATTATCAAATCAATCTTTATTTTTATCCACCGTCAAAACTATCATTATTTTTATCTTATATCTTTTACCGTCTATATGTGGGCTTCTGTTTATAATGTTTCTTCACAATGAATACTAAAAAGTCATATTAATTAGTAATCAATATGTACAATAATTTGATTGCTTGTTTAAAATTTTATGACTAAAAATTGAAAACGCCTAAATAAAGTATGCATCAAATTTAATACAAAGCGTTTAGATAACTTAATTAGGAACATGACTTTTTATCAAAATTATGAAAGCTCTAAAGTGGTATCACATCAATTCTTAAAAATCTTTAATACAAATATAGTTTTACAAGGACTAAAATATGAATTATAAAGTTGATAGGTGCAAAAACGGATGAATAGAAATCATAGTTGGGTTAATATTTAATTTTTTCAAGACATGATTGTGAAAGGTTTATTTTTTAGATTTTTATTTTACATGGAGTAGTTATTTGTTAAAAATAAAACTCTATTATAATGTTTGGAATTTAGAGAAAAATAAATAGACTACTAAAATCAATATATTTAATAAATAACATAGGCACAAATTTGTATAAAAGAAATACTATTTTTTTTTCTAATTTCTATATAATAGAAATATTTTTTTTACTACAGGGATCGTGCCCCTACGGGCCCCTATTTGCGTCCGCCAATGTTCATACCATGTGGAGTTTGTTGCATTAGATGACCAAAAAACACGGGATTGTTTCATTAGTTTGTTAAAAAATCCATACCAGTACATTAATTTGTTACATAAAATCCTGTGTTTTTTAAAAAAACACGGGTTGGCCCTTAAATATTTTCACAAAAAGTTGATACATTTTTAAACATATCATAGCGCTATTGCATGTTAATTTTTTATTTTTCTCAGATTCTAAAACTTATAGAAAGATAAATTCGGAATAGAATTTAAATATTTGGTAGTTTTTATTTTTTAATAAAAAAAATCAGCTGATTAAATAAAAATAGAGATTTTTTTTAACAGAAAAATAGCTAATATAATTGTTATGATTGGTGAACAAAGAATAAGTAAAAATATTATTTTCTCTTATATCAAGGAATAAATATATATACCAAAATTAAAATTTATATTAGTATAAATGTGTTAGTGAGATAATATATTAATTATATTACAAGCTAGCCCCAACATTCTCATATTTAATGTTATGGCTAAAAAAACAATGTTGATTAAAAAAAAGTGAAAAAGATATTATAACCATATTGTATTTTAGACTTAACGTTGATTAAAAGAGGTAGAAAATAGATGTTAACCCTATTACATTTTAGTCTTAAACGGACAGAGCCTGTGAAAATAACTCATCTAATATTTCTATTC